TTCTCCAGGATTCACGACAGTTAGTACGATGCTTGGTGATCACTGGCCTCACCCCTTTTTGCCCCCTGCTCCCCACTGTGTCCTCCGCCTTTCCTCCTGGGAATCCTCCCAGGCTCCCAAGACCCCCCGCCCCCTCATGCTGATGCTCAGGTGCCAGCTGCCTGCTCTTGACTTCCCACCGCACTGCTCCTGGGGCCTCACCCTGCCGACTCCCTTGCTCTCTGACCTGCCCTCGCTCACCTCCACTTGCTCTCAGCCCTGAGCCTCGCAGCCTTGGGCTGTGTGCACTCACATGCACACCCATCCCTGGCTCCTGATGCCGGCCCAGGCCTGCCGTTTGCCTGGAGGGGAGCCGCCTTCTCAAAGAGCCCCAGGAATGTTGGGGCTCCCGAACCTTTGGTTTCTGTGGACAGAAAGTTCGTGGTACGGATCCCAACCTTCTCTTAACCTGTCTTTTTTTTTTTTTTTTTTAATTTATCTTTGCCATTCTAGATGAAGATGCACGTTATTGGGTACTTTCTGATAAGAGTAGCCCTTTACAAGTTTGTGCCATCAAAGCAAGCCTGGTTTTTTATTTATAGATACTCCCATTAAAAAAAATTAAAAATTATGGTATCTTACAAATTTATATACAGTAAACAAAAGAAGAAATGAGAGGGAAAAACTCAAGTCACCTTTTCTTCTTTCAGCTGAAAGGATTCTTCATGTTAATATCTCCCAATAGGGCCCATTTTCTGGACTTGAAGTGTCTTGTGGCTTTTCTTCTGCTGGGACAAGGCAGCGCCCCAAACTCTCTCCTACGAGTCCCTGAGGAAGTCAGAATAGAGAGACACAGATATCTTTTCTCTTCTTTTCTTTTTTTTTTTGGAGGAAGATTAGCCCTGAGCTAACTACTGCCAATCCTCCTCTTTTTGCTGAGGAAGACTGGCCCTGAGCTAACATCCATGCCCATCTTCCTCTATTTTATACCTGGGACGCCTACCACAGCATGGCTTTTGCCAAGCAGTGCCATGTCTGCACCTGTGATCGGAACTGGCGAATCGCGGGCCGATGAGAAGCGGAGCGTGTGAACTTACCCGCTGCACCACCAGGCCGGCCCCAGATCTTTTCTTTAGCTTCTTTCCCCTTGGATCCATCTGGTCCCTGTTTCTTTCAAGCCCACTTTTAGGAAGCTGCATCAGACCACCCAAAATGTTAGGCTCAACAACAGCTTAGGGTCCACTGTGACCTCCTGAACGCTTTCTATCTTATCCATTCCTTGCTTGTCAGTCTCATCTTGGATCTCTGCTTTACCCAGTTTTCCTTCCTTGGCTAGTTTCCAGGTTGTTCCTGGTCAGTGCCCCAAATTGCCAAAGTCTTTTTGGATTCTAGTCCTATCTTTTGAGGCACAAGCCTCATTTGCCATTTTGGTTTTCTGCCAATGTATAGAGCTTGCTCTTTATTTGTGCATCCTAGTTACTAATGGAGATATGGAGGGTGTTTATCTTCCTTTTGGACCTCCTGGTCCCTGAAGGGGAAAATCTCTGGGTTCTTCCCCTAAAGTTTTTAGCGTGTAGTTTTCCTTTTCCTACTAAATTGTTTCCATATGGAACAACCAGTCTGGGAGATGATTTCACCTCTTGTCATCTTTCCTATGTCCTCCTTGAAGTGGGTAAATTCCTCCTGGCTGTTATTGGTTTTCTGCCACTGCCCCCCCTCCGCTTTTTATAGATCCCTAAATCACTTGAAATTGTTTTGTTTTTCAAATCACCAAAGTTGCCTTTCAGTGGTCGATCATCAGCCAGCTCTTTGCAGTTAATGAGGATCCAATTAGGAAAGGCAGCCGCTCCAGCTCCTCCATCTTCGGCCCCCTGCCCCCAGAACGGTTTAGGATGACTTCTCGCTCGTGAATGTCAGCTGTTGTGGTTGTCTCCTAGGAATGGCATGTGTTAAGGACTTTGTGGTTTGTGTCTGAGCAGTTAGGGGCACCCTTGCAGGGGAAGGAAAGAGAGGGAGATTTTTTGCTCCTGCACAGAAAGCCTGGTGCCTGATCCCCTGAGTGAGGCTTGCCGTTGGAATGACATAGAACTCACGGGAGCAGGAATGGCAAGAATTTATGGGGCTGCTGCTCTCAGGGGGTGGTTACCCCTCTAGGGGCTTCCACAGTAGCGGGGAATTCATTATATTTTGGGATCATTTGTTAGTGTCTCATTTATACCATCTGTATGAAAATAAACAGAAGCTGCCAGCAGAGCCTATCATTCCCGGAACAGAGTGGGGTCTGGCTTCCATCTCTCAGAGATGGCTTAGGCAAGGAAACATACAGAAGCTTCTGGAATATTTTTCTTGGGGTCTACTGTGGGAACGATAGATAACGAGCATCTAAATTTCCAGAGAGAGGCCCTTACCTCACTCACTGAATTTTGTTCCACCATGAATTTATCATTTGTTCGTTCTTTCATTCATTCATTTATTAATTCAACAAGTATTTGGTGATTACCTTTCTGTGCCAGAAATGATGCTAGGCACTGGAGTCGCATGGAGCAACAACCAGCCTTTGAAATCACCCCTGCACCTGCTGAGTGGCTGTATGGCACATTTTGCCACACAGGAATGGGTCCTTATGGTACAGGGGCGTTCTGGGGCTTCTGGCCAAGGAGGGGATTTTGCTCTGTTTTTTGTTTTTTGTTTTTTTTTGAGGAAGATTAGCCCTAAGCTAACATCTGCTTCCAATCCTCCTCTTTCTGCTGAGGAACACTGGCCCTGAGCTAACATCCATGCCCATCTTCCTCTACTTTATATGTGGGACGCCTACCACAGCATGGCTTGCCAAGTGGTGCCATGTCCGCACCCGGGATCCAAACTGGCGAACCCCGGACCGCCGAAGCAGGATGTGTTGCACTTAACCGCTGTGCCACCGGGCCGGCCTCTTGCTCTGTATTTTTGCTTTGCTCCATACCTTGGGTGTGGGCCCCCATCCTCTGTGAGGGGTTTGTGTCCAGCTGAGCACCCAGCACAGAGCATTCTTCAGCCTCCCAGCTCCAATCTGTTTTGATTAGCTCAGTTGAGCATTCTTCTTGGGGTCACTGACTCCTGGTGACATCAGTTCAGGTCTAGAATAGGGGATGTTTTAGAGTTTCCTCCTCTTCTGAGAAGGAGACGTGAGTTTCCTTTGTCACTTTGGCTCAGGTAGCCTGAAATCAACCCCCTCTGCCTGCTGAGTGTCCACAGGGTTGGGCCCAGGCACCATTTTGCTGCACAGGAATGAGTCCTTACCCTGGGCCCTTTCTCGTTCTTTCTGGAGGAGGCCCCGGGAGACCTGCAGCTCATGCGCCGTGCCCCGGAGCAGCCTCCTGGTGTGCGGCCTGCGGCCCTGTCTGCGTTGCAGGCCTGGCTCCGGGGGACGGAGAGGGTGCTCTCTTGCTGACTGGACTCCAGTCCAGCTCGGGTTTAGGGAGGGTCACAGCGCATTGACCAACCACACGGGAGAGGTCTCGGGCCATTTCTATGTCTGGGCTCCCACCCAGGCTGCCGTGGGGTTATTCAGGGAACTTCCTCCTGTTGGAGGCAGGGTGGAGGGTCGCTGTGCAAGAGAATGATCCTCCACTCTGGGCTAGTGTCTGAAAGGCCACCGTTCGAGGGTGGACTTCATTCCTTCTGCATTGACATCTCTTGGACCCCAGGAGGGGAAACAAAAAGGGCAGGGTGAGAAAGCTTTGGTTCCAAAATCCAGGGACCCGGAATCCCGTCCTGGCTCTGGCCCTCTCTGGCTGTGTGAGCTTGGGCAAGTCTTTTACCTCTCTGAGCTTCAGTTTCCTCATGTGCAAAATGAGGATGTGGTTTAGATGAGTACAGGGACTTCTCCAGCTCTAAGACTATAACTTGATGTGAATGAGTCTCAGATCCTTTTCTGAGATGGCCCGGGGGACACAGCTTGCTAAAGATGGGGAGAAAGGATGTGAGTGGAAAGGAGGGGCTGAGGGGCCAGGTGTGGGAGGTGGAGCTGGTGGAACACAGATGAAAGAGCCTGGGGTACCAGTTGTAAACTTGAGTGCAAGGTAGGGAGCTATGGGCAATGGCTTCATGGGCAGATGCGGCCGGTGTGCTAAGGGTGAAATGGCAGATCCACGGTACGCTCCTGTGCACCTTTGTTTAAGGAAAGTGATGTCCCGTGGAAGTCTTTGTGGTTTGAGGGTGCAAGCCACTCACACGCTTTACCCTCAGAGTGCGGGGCCTGTTGGGAAAGAGACACAGGGCTGGCTAGAGAACCACATTCCACCTTTGAAAGTGAAACGGAGATGGACACTGTGGCTTGTGCTTATGGCCAAAATGGGTTCCCTAAAATGCCCCTCTCTTGAAATCTAGACCTGAGAGCCTGAATGGGGGGAGGAGGTTGTGGATCACTCTTCGGGGCCACTCTCATGGGAGGCAGAGCGCCAAGACAGTGTGGCCACATGGGTACATAAACTTGGCTCAACAGAAGCGTGGTCAGAGGATGTCCTGTCTCCCCTCTCTCGCCAAATACATCCCTCTCCATGGGAATAGAGGGGTGGAGAATGGAAGGATAGGCCAAAGCTTCTCCCCCGGGATTTCCAAGACAGTTGAGGTTCTGATTTATGGCCCTCTGCAGGCAGGTGGGAAGGGACAGAAATGATTTCCTTTACAGGACTGGAATCCAGGAGCAGCTTTGTACTAACGTGCTACTTACAAGGCTGCTTAGAAGCCAAGACTGTGCACATCTGAGCTCCAGATTCTCAGTGCCGTGGGCTCATAGTAGGTGGTCCACATCGGATGGATGGATGGATGGTAGGAGCCCTGCAAGGGACCAGATAAGTCTGGCTTTATTGGCAGACAAGCTTTCTTCCCTGCCATCTGTGCCTTGAAAGGACCATTTCTTACCCATGAGCTTCCCCCAACAAAGAGAAGGAAGAAATAAGAATTCCCCTGCTGTTGACCTGTCTCATTTATGTCTTTCTTTCATGCCTGAATCTGTCTTCCCTTGCAAACCTTCAGGGTTTGACAGAGCCAGAATATGTGTTTGCTTTGAGAATGAAGAGACTGTGGGGGACTTTTCTGGTACTGTGCTCCACTGGGAAACACATGCTAATTAATTCCATCTCCTTTGCCTAAGTGTCTTCCTCATAGACGCACACACACTGTCACCTTTAACTTCGATTTGCTTCATTCGTATTCAGGGCGTCTTAACAAGTAGGCAGAATGGGATGCGTGATTGGAGGGGAGGCACCATGCCAGACCAAAAATAGCTCCCTCTCAAACAGGTGCAGAGGGGCCTGAGATTCCACCGTTGCAGTCTGTTCCCTTCCGAGGCAGTATGTTGCCGTGTAAATCCCAGCTCCTTCAGGTTTTACTGTGTACGTTCTTGAGCGATTTATCTTTCTTTCTTTTTTTTTTTGAGGAAGATCAGCCCTGAGCTAACATCTGCCAATCCTTCTCTTTTTTGCTGAGTAAGACTGGCCCTGAGCTAACATCCAGGCCCTTCTTCCTCTACTTTATATGTGGGACGCCTGCCATAGTATGGCTTGATGAGTGGGGCCATGTCCGCACCGGGGATCCGAACCGGTGAACCTCAGGCCGCCAGACTCGGAACACTCGCACTTAACTGCTGTGCCACCAGGCTGGCCCCGCAAGTTATCTTTCAAAGCCTTGGCTGCTTCCTCTGCTGAATGGGCTCTGCCCCCATCTTAGTGTGCTAATAGAAGGATTATGGCAGTGCCGAGCAGAGAGCAAGTGCTCAATGGATGTGCCTATGGTTGGGTTAAGCATTGCCTTAAGGGCCAAGGATAACCTTGGTGGGAATTAGTTGATGGAGTTTCTCTCTATCACAGAATGGACTGAAGGGCAGGAAGAGCAGCTGCATGGGGAAAGGATTCGGGGGGGACATTAGCAAAAGAAAGGTTGAGGTCCTGGCAAGACACGGGGGCTTTAGCCGCTCATGGAACCTCTCAACCTGGCTGACCCCCTTGTCCTTCTTTTGCCCACTCCAGGCTGGACCGCCGCTCCTCCTGCTATGATGCCTGGGCAGATTCCGGACCCTTCCGTGACTGCGGGCTCTCTGCCAGGGCTCGGCCCCCTGACTGGACTCCCCAGCTCAGCTCTGACGGTGGAGGAGCTGAAATACGCCGACATCCGCAACATCGGGGCCATGATAGCTCCCTTGCACTTCCTGGAGGTGAAACTGGGCAAGAGGCCCCAACCCGTGAAAAGTGAGGTGAGCGAGCCGTGTTCCCCCAGACAGAATCCAAGGGTAGGACGCCTGGGTAGAGCCCAGGTCTAGCCCTACACGCAGCGTGTGACCTCAGCGTTGCCATTCAACGTGGGGTCTGAGGACCAGCGGCATCCGTGACACCCTGCAGCTTGTTAGAAATGCAGAATCTCGGGCCCCACCCCAGAACTTCTGAATCAGAATGTGCATTTTAACAAGCTCCCCCAGGAATTCATGGACACGGTAAAGTTCTAGAAGCCCTGGGCTAGGGCAGGATGCTGCACCTGTCTCTGGGTCTTCAAGGAGCGAGGGAAGAGTGACTAATAATAACAATAATGAATAATAATATATTGGCAATCTCTCTGGGGTGTTGGGAGAATCAAGGGAGTTTGTGGAAATGTGCACATGCTTTGAAAGTATACAAGAGCATGCCAGTCCTGGGTTATCTTGAAAAATTATTGTCATTTGTCACATCATTGCCTCTACCCCTCTTGGCCCCAGGCTGGAGCTGAGCATGGCAACTTGGAGGAAGGGTGGTGTGGCCTCCTTTCGCAAGCAGCTGCCAGAGCTGGGCATGGCTCAGTCACCCAGCATCATCTGCCTTAGGTGATGCTTGCGGAGGACCCACATGGGACCACTCCCTGCTCAGGTCCTGCAACTGCAGCTCTCATGAGTCTTACTTGCAGAAGAGCAGCTTTTCCCTGGGGACTGGTGGGAAACACAAGTTCCCAGTGTGGGTGAGCATCAGTGCTGTGCATGCCCCCAGCCACTTCCCCAGCGCCGGTCATTTGTCCAAAGGCCTGCCCCAGTGAGGTCCCCAGCAGGGCCATTTTTTCAGAGGCCTAACAGAATAGCTGCCGCCCTGGAAGGGAGAAGGACAGGTGGTGAGAGGTGGAGAGGTGGCTGGGGGGTGGGGTTGGGGCCAGGACGTGGGAAGCAGCTGGGCTTCCTCTCATCATTTCATGAGAGGGAGCATTCATAGATGTGCCTCGACGTGGAGTCATCCTTTAGGATGGGACTTGGAGGGCTGGACTTTCCAGGGAGAGGGCCTCTTGGGTGGAGAGAGGTGTCTGGGTACTGACAGAGGAGAGTGGGTATATATGCAGCTCCTGCTCTTCCCTCACTCTCCCTGTGAGAATCGTAAAAACTGCGAAGAAGCGCTGGTGGGGCTTTGCCAGGGGTGGCAAACTGGCGGTTTGTGGGCTGGATCTGGCTCTCAGGTGTGTTTTGTTTGGTCTGCACAGTGTTTTAAAAGAAACTTGAACCAACATTTCACTGCAACATTTGGATTTCAATCTTTGATGAAAACACTGGAAGATCTGGTCACACTGTGCCCTGTTCTGGCATGGCCACAGCTGCATGGAATGGAGAGACCTCTGCACTCTCTCCTGGCTCCAGTTTGCCATAGGCCCTGCATGCCCTCTTATTCTTGATTTTGCTCACACTGTTGGTTTTGCTTTTGATACCCACAGCTGCCTTCATTTACTGTAACCGCTTGGCCCCTGCAGTAGACATTGGCTCTGGAAACACCTGGATTAGGTGCACGGCAGATGCCCACTAAAGACTGTTGATTACAAGATGAGAGTGGGCAGTAATTAGATTCCTCTGAATTGATTTTGTAAATCAACGTGCTGTTGATAGCAATTCCTGGCTTATTTCTTGTCCTGTTTTCTTTATGGAGGGCCTTGTCTTTGATCCTTTGCTATTCACCTTCCCAGACCTGTAACTTAAAAGCATCCATTTCTGGGTCGGTCCCCAGTGGCGCTGAGGCCGGGGGACTGATGAAGAGCGGGGTGCCTGGCCCAGCGGGGATTTGCCTAGGGGGTTGAGTTACCGCCTCTTCCCTCAGCAAAAGGTGCTGGAGGAGCTTGCTTTCTTTTTTTGGGGAAAAGGCATTTATTTGAGTGGAATATTTTTACATTTCACAGCCTCTCCCAAATTGGTGGCATATGCCCTGTACTTGACAGTGACGTTCTGTCTTCACAGGCACCCACAAACACGCACCATCCAGGCTGTGAAAATAACAAGCTGTTTTTAGGGCGCATTTGCATGTCGTCTCCCTCGCTGTCAGACTGCAGCGCTGTGGGGGCGATGAGGCAGAGGCAGCAGCGTAGGTTGCGCTGGCTTGGAGTAAGGTCAGCTCTGCCTGGGGAACTGACCTCCACAGGCTTCCTACGTCGAATTCAAGGTGGGAGGCAGGGGGCTTATTCTTAGAGCTACTAAAAATAAAACAGGTGGAGAGAAACTTGCAGCTGGAGAACCTTATGTCCTGAAGACTTATTTGCATATGGTGAACTGCCTTTGGTGGATTTTCACATCAGCATTTTAGACTAGTAAAAGTTTCTTGAATAATAATGATACTAGCTCACTTTTTTGGTGAGGTAGATTAGCCCTGAGCTAACATCTGTTGCTAATATTTTTTGCTTGAGGAAGACTGTCTCTGAGCTAACGTCTGAGCCAATCCTCCTCTGTTTTGTATGTGGGATGCCACCACAGCATGGCTTGATGAGTGGTGTGTAGGTTCACACCCAGGATCCAAACCCATGAATCCCGGGCCATGGAAGCAGAGAGTGCAAAGTTAACCACTGCGCCACTGGGCCGGGCCCTAGGTCACATTTAAGCATTTCAGTATGTACCAGGCCCTGTGCTAATAATTGCTTAACCATATGATCTCGTTTATTCCTTACCTGATCCTGGTGACTGGGTTCTCCCCATTTTAGAGGAGAGGAATTTGAGGTCCAGGGAGGAGGAGGTCAAGTCGATCAGGGTCACGCCGCTGGAATGTGGCAGAGGTCAGGCCTGCCTGGCGATGCCCCTGCTGCTGCTGTGACAGTGGTGTCCCAGTTGCCCTGGGCCACGCCTTAGGCTTTGTGCTGGGCGCTCTTTGTGAAGTATCTCATTGGACTTGTCCAAGAACCCTTTGGTGTAATTATTGTTACTGTTGTTTGTGTGCCCACATTATGGATGAGGTCAACAAGGCTTAGAGGGGTCCAAGGTCAGGCAGCTGGGAAGCAGCCCAGGCAGGCGGACTTTTGAGCTGAAACTTTAACCTTATGCTCTGTGGCCTCCTGTGCTCTTTCCGTCCCTTCCAGGCTTCTAATCAACACTCTGTCGGGCCAGGAGGCCAGATGAAGCTGGCCCGAGAACGCTCCATCATTTTGATGACCTGGCCCAGTTAGCCCTGAGCCCTGCAGTTCTGCAGCCTCGTTGTCTCCTGGGCCCCAGAGAGAGTGGGCTGAACCGCTGTGCAGGCAGGCCTGTCCCAGCTGGCTCTTGGGCTGTCCGCCTTGTAGAGGCCGGCAGTTTCCTGGGCCATGTCCAAACGCACGAAGCTGTTTGGTAAGAGAAAATTGGAGGAATTAAGTTAAATGACAGGTTTTGTAAATGATAAAGTGCTCTGTGCTGATGTTGTTATTATTATCTGGTTGACACATAATGTTACACTGTTTTGGTGCCAACTGCTTGCCTGCAGTCCGTTTGTCCAGCTGATATTTGCTAAGCACCTGCTGTGTGCCAGGCCCTGTGCCAGATGCGGGGAACTGACCCATAAACAAAGTAGACAAAGCCCCGCTTCTCTTGGGCCTATATATTGTAGTGGGGGCGTCCAGAAATAAAAATCAGCAAATTAATGGACAATGTGAAAGGTCAGATAGTGGTCAGTGTTGTGAGGGAAAATGAAGCAGACCGAGCGGATGGAGAGTGGCCAGACTGCTCGTGTTGCCGGTTGGCTAGGGAATCTGGGCCTGTTATGCTCGGGGTTAGAGCCCATGCTGCTTTCTTGCCTCTTTGTTCTTCTTTCTTCTGTAATGTTTCCCTTTGATAGCTTTGCTCTCTGGCTGTGTCCAGGGCTTCTCTTCCTTCCCCTTAAGCTGGACTCCTCCACCAACCAGTCCCTATTGGCCTGAAGATCTTGGCCATTCCGGGTGATCTCCCTCTGAGTGGGGTGCTGTGGCTGCAGTGGCCCCACGCTGCGTCTGGGCCCGGAACGCATTTCCACTAGGGGTGGGGGGCGGGGGTGGGAGGAGCAGAGCCCCTCCCTTGCGCACACATATACACGCACGCACACACACACACACCAAGCACTCACTTAACAACCTGTTAGATGAGACCCCTCACCCTCTGCTGCTCTTCAGGGCTCTAGAGGGACTCAGGAGTTCAAGGGAGGTTGGCCTGGATGACCTTTTAAGAAAGAGGTTGCAACTGTCATTCCAGGGGCTGGAGTCAGCCTCCAGATGAATCTCGTTTGGCCCTCACAGTGTGGTTTTCTTTTTTTTTTTTTTTCTTTTTTTTTTAATTGAATGAGTTGCTATATTTAAAAGCCAGGAAATGTGGACTTTCTGGCTTCTTTGAAAAAACCAGAATATCTGGCCATTCTGGGCCCACACCCTTAGATGCAATGAGAAGCTGGAGCTGAGTGGCAGATGCTCGCTGGATGAGCCTGCAGTCTTTAGTCCACCAGGCCTCGGCTACTCCCGCTGCCTCACACCCCGCCGCCTCACACCCCGCCGCCTTCACGCTCTCTGTGTCACCAGCCTGCTTGTGAGTTTGCATCCTGTGTTCAGGTCCCAAGGACAGGGACTGCATCTTCCATGTCTTTTTACTTCCACTAGACCGTGTTCAGTGCCTTGCACAGACTGTATGTTTAACGTAGGCTGGTTGGTTTGAACATTAATTAGCTGTGTCAACTTGGCAAGTCACTTAAACCTTCTGTCCCTTCATTTCTCCAGCTCCTAATTCTTACCTCCAAACACTCTCCTTTTGTTGTTCTGTTTCTGAACTTAAGCGACTTCAGGCAGAAGAAAAGAGGACACAATGGAAATCAAACCAACCATTCCCAAACTTGGCTGATCATCAGAATGGCTTGGAAAAGTTCTTACAAATACAGATTTCCAGACCCAAGCTCGGGCCCGTGGCATCAGAATCTCTGATCTGTCTGTCTAGTAGGCTCAGAGGTAACTGGGCTGCATTTGGGACCCTGACTGTTTATATGGCTCCTTGGGCTCTTC